TTTGATGCTACTGGAACATGACTTAAGAACAATAGTTCTTTCATCCTTTCAAAATTCAATGAAATGAGAAAATTATTGGAAAAAGAATCAACTAAATAAAATTGGTGGAAATCTTTTTTTTAAATTCAGTAAAACAAGAATGAAGGAACTAAAGAAGAAAGTAGCAAGACTCACAGGAGAACAAAATCAGCCAAAATTAGTAAAAGTGACCAGAAGACAAGATCTTTAACATCACTTACAAAGAAAATGCAACAGAGGGAATAGTTTTTTTAAAATAAATTAAAGTAATATAATTGATAGACAAGAGGAATTACCTATGAATTATAATAATTCCAGAAGAGAAAAAATTCAAAGGAAAGTAATGGCCAGTGGAAGAGACAATACCTTAAAACTTCCAGTCTGAGAAGGAAGACTGATCACTGATTCATGAGTGAGTGCCATGAGTGACAAACAAAATAAACTCAAATGTAGCACAGAGATACACTATAATAAAAATGGCAAGAACCAAAGCAAAACATACAGTAGTGAAAAAAAAGAAGTATAGTTTTCAATATAAGAGAAATTGCAAAATGTTTAAATCAAATTTTTCAAATTAAACTCCACAAACATGGAGGGAATGAAGATATATATTCAAAAAATGGGTTTTAAAAAAAGAAACTTCAACCAATAAACCTTTACCCTATAAGCTATCACTCTGATTTGAAGGACAGTGCCCCCAATTAAAAAGACAGAGATATTCCACTTAGCATGATTCTCTCCAGGTCCTTCCACATATAAATGAATTTTATGACCACTTTTCTAAGAGCTGTATAGTATTCCATTTTATAGATGTAACAGAGTTTCTTTAACCAGTCATCCGTTCTCAGGCACTGGGATTGTTTTCAGATTCTGGCTACTGTGAATAGTGCTGCAATAAGCATACAAATGCATATGTCATTTCTGCTGTGTGTTTTTTATATCTCAGGGGTATTATCATGTTATCATGCTGAGTAAAATAAGTCGTAAGGAGAGGGACAGATACAGAAAGACTGCACTCAATTGTAGGATATAAAAAAGAAAATGTAGTATGAAACTAATAACCAAGGATCGTATAAATAAGGGCCAGGAGCACTGGTCCACAGGTGGAAGTCTGCCTCAAGGCTGGGGAGAGGGCAGTTGGGATGACAATGATGGTTGGAAGGGCTCACTCTGGACAGGAACTGTGTGCTGAATGTGGTAAAGGACCAAACATGACAGCCTCTCAGTACCTGTACTGCAAACCATAATGCCCAAAAGGAGAGAGAAACTAAGAAGGAAAGTGCCTGTCATAGATCAGGCTGGGGTGGGTGGTGGCAGGAGGGACATGGGGGATATTGGTGATGGGAAATGTGCACTGGTGGAAGGGTGGGTGTTGGAGTATTGTATGACTGAAACCCAATCACAAAATCTTTGTAACTTTATTTTATGGTGACTCAAATGAAAGTAATAATAATAATTTTAAAAGATAGATATTACTAAAATAGATCACAAACATACATCCCACTGAATATTGATGCAAAAATACTCAACACTATTCTAGGAAAACAAACCAATTACACCAATAACATATCAAAAGAATTATGTGACAGGTAGGTTCATTCTAGGAATGCAAGTTTGGTTTAATATACACATATCAATAAATGTAACAAACCATACCAACAAAAGAAGATTAAAAACCATGAGGTCATAAAATTGATTCAGAAAATGCTTTTGACAATATTCAACATTCATTTATGTAAAAAAGCTCAACAAAGTAGGAACATAAGCAATATATCTCAAAATAGGGTAAAAAAAAGGTAAAGGTAAAGGCCCTCCCGTTGATCGTCGATTTGCTCGAGCGGGCCCAGTAACGTCTCCATTGGAGACTTTGTTGTTACTGTGTCTGGCATATCGAATACTCTCGGTAGCTTGCCGGGCTCTCCGAGAGGGGTGGAGGAATCGAACTCGGGTCGGCCATGTTGGCCGCTTGTAAGGCGAACGCCCTACCCGCTGTGCTAGTGAAGGCCTATATATAAATACCCTCAAAATAGGGTATTTACAAAATACCCATAGGGAATTTCATTTTTGCCATACATCATATAAAAAACTAAAACCCTTCCCTCTGATGATGTCAGTGATGTCAGTCACAGAAAGGATGTTCATTTTCATAATTATATTCAGTATAATTTTGGAAGCTACTGCCGCAGCAATAAGTCAAAACATAAATCAAATAAATTTAAATCGAAAAATAAGAAGCTAACTCTCACCATTTCTTGGTGATATGATAATATACTTTGAATATCTTAAACTTTTCACTGAAAAAAAAAACCTCCAAGAGGTAATCAATTCATCACCATGGTGACAGGCTAAGTCAATAAATAAAAGTTGGGTCTCATTTCTATGTACACTAACAATCTTCAAAAGAAAAATACTAGAAAGGTTTTATTTTAAATAGTGTCCCACAATATGAATATCTAGGAATCAATAAAATATGGGGAAGACTTTTACACTAAAAGTTATATATTGCTATTGGAAGAAATACAAAGGACACCAGGAAATGCAAAAGAAAATCATAATTATAAAATGATTTTATAAAATGATTTAATTTTATATCAAATATTCATAGATAGGTAAAAATAGCATTGTCAAAATATCCATATTACCCAAAACATTATACTGTCAATGCACCTTTCATCAAAGTTTAAATCAAAATCTTCAAGTATGTATAACAAATTTGACTATAGTTTGTATGAGGCCATAAAACTTCATAAATATGCAACGAAATTTTGAGAAAAAAGATGGGAGTTATTAAATTTTCAAACACTAACTTATAATACAAAGTTACAGTATACAAAGCAATGTGATACTGGCATAAAGATACACTCTCAGACCAATAAAGTAAAATAAAAAAATAAATAAACCCTTATATTTATGGTTGGACTGGAGCAATAGCACAGTGTGTAGGGTGTTTGCCTTGCACAGGGCCGACCTGGGTTCAATTCCTTCGTCTCTCCCGGAGATCCCAGCAAGCTACCGAGAAAATATCCCGCCCACACGGCAGAGCCTGGCAAGCTCCCCATGGCATATTTGATATGCCAAAAACAGTAACAAGTCTCACAATGGAGACGTTACTGGTGCCTGCTTGAGCAAATAGATGAACAATGGGAGGACAGTGCTACTCCATTTATGGATAGTTAATCTTGACAAAGAAGTTGGATTAATGAAGCAGATAAACAGTGGTCTCTTCAACAAATGGAACTATTAAAACTGGAAGGCCACAGTAAACTGAAAATGAAGCATATCTCACAAAGTACACAGAAGTAAATTCAAAGTGAAAGAAAAAACTTAAATTAGAACCATAATCTACAAAATGCATGGAGGAAAATAAAAGCAGAACTTGTCAGAAAATGGACCTCTGAGTTTTTGATAGTGTTATTCCTTTAGCAAAGGTAACACATTTTTCCAAGTTCTTGATATATAGAAGTTAGTGACTAGGATATTATTTGATAATCATAATCTTAATGCCTATACTTTATGTTAAAACTTAGTTTCAAAACACTTGGCTTGAGATACTATTTAATTCCTACACTGTCAGTGTCCACATTAAGGAAATAAAAAATGCTAGTATTATTGGCAAAAAGTCACTTTCTTAATTGATAATATGTTTGTATTTCTAGAATTCTGAGTGGTTGAGGACATGTAAGTAAAAATTGCATAAAATTATGTTTCTGTTCCTTAAACATTGATACAGGAAAATAGGATCCATTTTATTTACTAACAAGAATGACAGTATTAATATAATGGTAGGCATAAATGTATGCCTTTTTATCATTTGCTATTACTAAAAATTACAGAAGGTAGAACAAAGAAAGTGACTCACATAATTTTTCTATCATGTTTGTTATTTTACTTTCTCTTCTCATCTTGAACAATTCTAGGAGCAGACAGCCGAACTTCTCCATGTGTTTTATTTTCTGCTAATATCATGTATGATTAGATTCAAGCTGATACCCTGGAGGTTTTTATAAATTTAATGGAAAATGCTTAAGCAAGAACAATAATGAAATCATATTACACATGATGGTTGAGTCAGAGTTCATGTATTATTCTAAGAATCAGTTACTTATTTGTAAGAAACTGATGTGGGAAAAACAAAACAGTCACATTGCCCAAGTGAAGTCATTATTTTATGAGAACTGCAGTGGATTAGTGCCACCACCAAAGAGCTGCTCGTGCCCACATCTCTACTTGCATGCTCTACTTCTCACTGGGATTCTGCAACGTTCAGGAAGTTGCCTTTGGACAATGCTGTGGAGAATCAGGATTAGAGGGTACATTCCCTCAGGACGATTCATAACCAGCGGCTATTTAATATGGCAGGGGGAATATTTGTTTTAAAAGATGATTTTTGTTTTTGATGCTTTCTGTCTCTGAAGGAAAGAGGTATTTTTATTTAGGTTACTGAGATAGGAGAGGGAGAGGGCCAGAGAGTGGCGGGCGTCCAGAGGCTGGGCAGGAACTGCAGCAGGTCTGGTGCTCACCCTGCATGTGGTGCCAGAGGCCCTCCAGGAGCAGACACCTGAATACAGAGCCACACCGCACCCACTCCGAAGGGGGGCTAATACTCTTCTAAAGTAAAGCAACGGAAAAAAGTCCTGGGCTCCAGGCACAAATCCAGAATGGAGGAGCCTCAGTTCCCTGGCTATAAGGCGAGAGCTGCCCACTGTAGTCACTAGAGGCCTTGCAGCCTTGCCCTGAGCTGAATGTGCGCCCTTCCTTGACTTCCCCCTAACCATGCTTATCCTTTACTCATCCTCTTCAGATTTTCCTCTTCAACAAAGCACTTTTGTGTGTGCCTTTAGTTTAGGATCAGTTTCTGAGAGAACCCTGCCTGGGATAGTCGATCAAGAAAAAGCCTGAGGTAGTCCCTAAAGTCACATCTGATATACACCCATTACATTTCAAACCAATAGGGTCAGAGCTGTGAGGAAGTCTCAACCAACCTGTCAACAAATGCATGATGAAGAAGAAAAATGGGGTCGTTGGCAGACCCTGGCACCTGTGACATGGTTCCGTTCATGTATATGTGCAAGGCATTGTGCATGGTGCTCTTGGAGGCATCTGCTATCCCAGTCACGGGACTAGCGAACCCTGTTGGAAACAAAAATCAAAAAAGAAATTTAATTCACCTTAATGACTAAAAATCTAAGTGATTAACTCATTTTGTTTGCAACTAAAGTTGAATGATTCAAAGTAATACTATCAATAAAAAACTTATTATAATTGGGAGATTTTACATTATAGACAGCTGGTGTTTATTGGCAGAATTTTGTGATAGTAAATGGCTTTTATTTGAGTACAATGGGTAGGTTAACCAGACAAGATAGGCTGAGACGTACTGTGCCCCTTCTGTTTTTTCTGCTTGTTACTTCTTTGTAGGCACAGAAGAGGAAGAATACTAAGCCCTTAATGACAAATAGCATAGTTTCTCTAATTTCAGTCTGTCCCAGCACTTAAGACATAATTTTTAGTCCATCATATGCTCTTTGTTTTTCAATTTTGGAGGTCAATTTAACTTTGATACCTAGTTTTGGAGGAAACATATAATTTATGTCTTTCCATATTACAATTCATCTCTTCCAATGTAGGAAAAAATAATTTGTTAGATTTCAAAGTATTTATTACTAAGATAATTAGGACTTCATTTAATTGCTCCATTTTCTGCATAAGTAATAACACTGTAGCACTGTCCTGTAGCACTGTCCTCCCATTGTTCATCAATTTGCTCAAGCGGGCCCAGTAATGTCTCCATTGTGGAACTTGTTGTTACTGTGTTTGGCATATCAAATACGTCACGGGTAGCTTTCCAGGCTTTGCTGTGTGGGAGGGATGCTCTCGGTAGCTTGCCAGACTCTCCAAGAGGGGCAGAGGAATCAAACCCAGGGTCAGCCAGCCCGGCCGCGTGCAAGGCAAACTCCTTACCACTGTGCTATCATTACAGCCCCTAAGTAATAATAATGAAATAATTAGAAAAGCCGTTATTTCAATGTTATTTATGTCAAAATGACATTAAAATAATTCATATATTTCAATCTCTGCAGCAACCCTGACAATTTGAAGTTATTATCTCCACTGGAAATAAGAAAAAAGATCTTAATCATTTTTGTTTTGTGTTCTTTCTCATATACTTCCTGCAAAAGGGTGGAATAGATATCATTTCAGAGAGTATTCAGACATGATACAAAACAAAAGAAAAATATGGTCAAGAATCAAATAAAGAAAGTGCAACAAGAAAGTTAAATTTTAAGAAGAAACCAAATTTTAAGAATGTGGCCAAATTGCACATCATAGAATTTCAGGACTTTGAAATATCAGATTGTGTTATCTTTAGAATACATACTTCTCTCTTGATCTGCCCTCAGATCTTTCTAAATAAATTCTAATAAAGCCTGTCCTGTTTCACAACAGAATGCATAATCTTTATCAGACAATAAATAATTGTCATATTAATCTTTATAAAACAAAACAAAGGATTGACAAAGTAAAGGCATTAGGAGACCTGGCTACATTTCATGAAATTTAGATTATTTTGTTTTTAACCTCTTAGATATAATTTTTAACTATTTATTAATAATGAATGCAAATCTTTATCTTTTTATTTGATTGTTTCAAAAGATTTTTTTTTTGGTCACACCCAGTTGTGCTTGGGCTTATTTCTGGCTCATTTCTCACTCCTGGCTCTATGCTCAGGAACTATTCTTGGAAGTGCTCAAGGGACATGTGTGGTGCTGGTGATGGAACCACAGTTTTCTTGCAGGGGAACATACGGTGCTCATTCTCCAGCACTTGGTGCTTTGTTATCTCCCACCTGGTGGCTCAGGTCCATTGTGTATGCTCAGGTGCTGATCTCGCTCTCATTCTGACTTTTCTGTACAGTGTCAGAGACTATATCAGCATTGCTTCCTCTAGAAGTTTAACCTAACAATATACATTTTCCTTCCTTCTGAAATATTTTTGAACTTTTATGTTTACATATGTACATGTATTTTGTGTACAGATATGATTTGAGAGTGCAACTGTTACACCCACATAGGAACTCAAAGGGCTGAGGCACATATAGGAAGTTTCCAGATAGACACGAACATGGCCATGCTCCATTCACTGATTGCTCTACGGAAGATGTAGCACGTACACAGGTTATTTTATTTGAGCCCCAGGGATGTACATACTATGAGTGTAATCATTATCCCATATTTGGGCTGGAGCGATAGCACAGTGGTAGGGTGTTTGCCTTGTGTGAAGCCAGCCTGGCCGAGCCAGGTTCGATTCCTCTGCCCCTCTTGGAGAGCCTAGAAAGCTACTGAGAGTATCTCTCCCGCACAGCAAAGCTTTAAATATGCCAAACACAGTAACAACAAGTCTCAACATGGAGACATTACTGGGCCCGCTTGAGTAAATCGATGAACAACGGGAGTGGCAGGACAGTTGTAGAGAAGATAAAACTTGTGTCTGTAGAGGGAAATAAAGTCTGTAGAGAAAATAAAGTAAACGAATATAGCTCAGATTATTTTCTGCGTGACTGAATTGGAGTTTCTAGGGACTTGATGATACTCACTAGAAATACATTTTTACTATGTATAGTGAAAGGGCTGGAGTGATAGCACAGCGGTACGGCATTTGCCTTGCACGCAGCCAACATGGCCGACCCAAGTTCGATTCCTCCACCCCTCTCGGAGAGCCCGGCAAGCTACTGAGAGTATCTTGCCCACATGGCAGAGCCTGGCACTCCACCCGTGATGTATTCGATATGTCAAACACAGTAATATGCCAAACACAGTAACAACAAAAAATCTCCAATGGACACGTTACTGGGCCCGCTCGAGCAAATCGATGAACAACGGGAGAGCCTTTACCTTACCTTACCTATAGTGAAATTAATTTTTTGACTTGTTATTTTCATTCAGTAGCAGTAAGGACATAGTATACCATTGCCTTGTTCTTGGTCTAGGATTTCAATGAATAAGAAGTCTAACAAGCCAGTGGGGACCTTGTTAGCAGTCACAGATGTCAAAATGGCTCTAAGTTCTTTGTGAAGAGCAGGAAGTTGCCCAAATTATTCTGTGTTATGCCTTCAAGTCTGTGAGTTACATTCCTGTGGGAAATTAATAAGCATAGTTTTATATAATGGTCTGGCATATCGAATAGTAGGAGATTTCAAGTTGTCAATCCATATCTATTTTTCTTTTGTTTCTTCACATTGGTATACTGGAGAATTGTGTATTTGTCTAATATCAATGCTCATTTGACCCTTTCAGAGTCAAATTCAGAGAGGGGCTTTAGACTCTAGAGTCTTAAAAATTCCCCAGGTGAAACTAATATGTAACTACGATCGAAAATAGTTGACTTTGGCTAATTTTCTTACTAAAATTTAATGCTTTTAAATTATTTACTGATGAATATATTATTACATTAATTTAAAATATTCTTTCCTTATTTTCTGATATTGCAAAGGCATGTGGCTTAAAACTTAGAAAACTAACGTGTCAGGCACTATGTAAATATTTCTAAATATAACATTTAGTTTAATTTAGTGTTTTTCTTTATAGAAATCTGAGTTACAAATATGTGCTTTATTCTGTCATATTTTGAAATGTGAAAAAGTTTCATAGTTAAATATTTAGGAAAATAATATAGTGATTTATTTGATATGATTTTAAATTTATTTAATTTTTATTTTTAGAGTATTTCAGAGATAAAATTAGAAGGGAAAAGTAAGACAAGATATAAAATACATTATTGCATCTAAAGATTTTTGTTTGTTTCTGGATAATATCAGTATAGCTCAGGGGTTACTTCTGCATTAGTGCTCTGGATCTGTTCACAGAAGCACTCAAAGTTTCACACAGTGTTAGAGATGAAACCCAGAAATTTTCCACAAAATAATTGTTCCCTAATCCTTTGAGATATCTTTCTAGCCCTCAGGAATCTAAAGAAGGGAGAAAAATGTCTGTTGAATACTTGTCTGTAATGACTTTTCCCAAGTTACTCCTTATGTGCGATTTAATTTAGGTATTACTAAGCATCTATACTCACAAGGTTACACAATAAGCTTAGGAGGCTATATTGAGTGAGTACTAAGCACCAACATCCAATTACAACAAATAAGAAATTGAGAAGTTCTACATGGAGCTGGAGAAATTCTATAAAGAAGGTCATACATTCTAAAAGGTCACTGTGGGTGATTTTAACACCAAGATAGGGCCAAGAAGGTTGCCCGAAGAACTCCACATCAGGACCCATGGCCTAGAATGGAACGAACATGGTGAGAGACTGTCTGAATTCATCATGTCGACCAAGACCATCTATGGTAACTCACAGTTCCAGAAGACCGAATCTAAATGTTGGACTTGGGAGTCTCCCAGTAGACAGTTCCACAACGAAATTGACCACCTCATATTCAATCGATGGTTTTGCCTGACCGATGTCACTTATGCCCCCAAATTCCGAACGGGATCAGACCACTATCTCCTTCATGTGAAATTCTACTTCATGGAGTGGGGAGAAAGGGCTGCAAAGATTAAGAAGAGAACTCCCAGAACGACCACTAACTGGGAGGTCTTTGGCACTACTGCAGCAATATTGGAAGCTGCTGTCCATTAACAACATTGACGAGGAATGCAATCAATTGGTTCAGCATCTCCATGATTGTGCGAGGAACTCCAAGAGAAAGAAAGCCACAAAAAGACTCCTGTCTTTGGAAACTCTCGAACTCATTGGCCAACGTGGTTTGGCACAAGCCTCAGGCAATCACAAGCTGAAGTTGGAGCTCTCAAAGCTGCACAGAGAAGCAAGAAAGGAAGACCTCAAAGAGAGAAGACCAACAGTGTTGGCCAATGCAGCAGATGCCAGGAAAAGTATTTGCAATGCTCGCCTGTCCTTCACCAACTGCAAGACCAAGAGGACTGCCCTCTGATGTCCTGATGGATCTATCACATCTTCCAGAAATCTTCCACAAGGGCAATGGAAAAGGTTACCCACGACTTCTACTCAGATCTCTTCGATAGCTATGTCCCCCTGCCCACATGCCACATTCCGCAGGGTGGATATGACATTCCCAGTTTTCTCCCTTCTGTATCCGACATGCCATTTTG